GGGGGGGGGGGGGGGGGGGGTAAGGGTAGAGTATGTTAGACATTGTTTTCTTTCCACAATTAAAGCTTGGTAGTTCACTGTTATTCAGGCAACAGTTGGATATACTTACACAATGATCAGATTGGCTGATTTGGAGTTTTCCTGTAGCAGCTCGTTCAGTCGCACCTGGAGGTTGGTCTGTAAAACAGCAGCAGTTGTTGTTTTTTCTACTCAGCCTAATTTTTATGCATAATGCACCATTTCCAATCCAGTCTTTTATACATAATTACATCCATTCTGTATATAAAATCTTAACTTAGTGGTTTTACCTTCTCCTCAAAGATGCCCAGCTCTTCATCAGTGATTTTCCAGGGCTGTTCTTTCTTCATGGCTTCTGCCTGATCTCTGTCTTCATGCAGACGGTAAGGCTCAATCATGTCCTCTAACTTCTTCAAGCTGGAGGAGAGCAGATAAGAACATGAGCTTAATGTGGTAAATGTTCATTCATATAATATGCAGATACGATAATGTGATTACATTTTACTATTACTGTTACACCATCTGGTCTACTGTCACTATTATAAATAAAATGCAATTACCTGTCAGAGCGGGGTTGGACATGGATGTCATCAATGACATTGATGTCAGTGCAGTTAATTCTGAATTTCTGCAACAGAGACTTCATCCTGCAAGACACATTATCACACAGTGATTAACTCTCAAGTAAATGTTGGTAATTATTTTCAGCTAATGCTACATAACATCTCATGTGAAGTGGTGTTGTTGGCTCATGAATTTAACTTCCACCCATTAAGCTATAATTGATACTGAAAGATTAATTGTTATTTTTTTTACTCACTCCTGTTTATCCAGCTCACTGCGTCCAGGCTGCCCTGCAATGAAGATCCTTAATTTACTGTCTTTCCACTTCTTCCTGGTAGTGAGGATGTAGGGGAGCAGCAGGGTGAGACCTGAGAGAAGGGAAAAGCATGTTTTATTGTAAAACTAATTCATCAAGTTTGTTTCTATTATACAAAATATGTGTATTTGCATTTAACATTTGTTTTTGCACCAGTTTATCTGTCTGTCACTAGGAAATCTGAAAAACGTATTAAACCCCTACATGAATTTAGTGGAAAGATTGTGCTTTGGGCACAATTGATTAGATTTTGGTTGTGATAGAGATCTGGCATCTCTGCTATTACACAGTTTGTACTTTCAAGTAACACATCAAAAGTCATTATTATTACACAATAATTCATAGGAATATTATATATATATACTTTGTGTGTAGCATGATTTATAGGCGCTGTTCAGTGTTGACTGTTCTGTGTTTACATTGATAACTTATAATTTAACTTGTTTTTTGGTTATATATTGTTGTTCAGGTGTTATTCATTTCAGTCAGTCAGATTTCTTCAGTCTGCATTTGTCTGCATCTGTTTAAATCTATAGGAGAGGTACATAAGAGAAGACTGCTTGGGGGAACCGACACCTACCTCCGTCGTCAAACAGCCACCACACATCAATGGTGCCTTTAGGCTGTTTCTTCTTGAACTGAGCACTGGCCTCCAACAGCCTCTCATTCATCTTGGCAACCTGTGGGGGTGGAGGGCCGCACACTGACACTGAGAAAGAGAGAAAAGGATACGAGAAATGAGAACTGGATGAGGGAGAGGAACAGTGGTAGGGAATTTAATTCCCTGAGTGAGCGTGGAGAGTGAAGTTGGATGGGAAAACTCGCGCAAATCAACATTAAGAGTTGAGTCTACATCAGCAGGAACAGCCATCTCTCAGGTTTAATGCTCCAATGAGTGGGATTCAGATTGCATACTAACGACCATCGCAGTCCTGCCAAGATGCAGCTCAGTGGTGTGTGTGTGTGTGTGCGCGCGTCTGTGTGTGTGTTTGTGAGCTGTAGAGACAGAGACAGATCGAGTGCGAGGCTGCAAGCACCCTCTGCTGTCTGGGTTAAAGGGCTGCTCTTAAGAGATGCTCTTCAAACTGGAACGAAAGGGACCATATTATTGGATTACACCGCCAGAGACATCTTTAGTGGGAGCACTTGGTTCAATTATATTGTGTGGGGAAGTTTACTAAAAAGATGTGTGTCATTGGTTTCATTTGTTAAATGTATGTTCTCTCAATGGTAATGTGAGTGTGTGTGGGTTTTGATGCAACTTTCGCTTTAAATAGTTTAGATTGGAACCTCTCTGAAATGACAGGTAAGGTTTTACCAGAAAGAAATAACAATCTAGATAGATACCTCTGGTGGTGAGCACTTGCTGAGAGGACTTCCTGGACTTTCTGAACAGTCCTCTTGCTTTCCCTCCGTTAGACATCATCTCACCGTCCAGTGCCTGTTGTTCCTTTGCTGCCTTCAACATCTCCTCTGAAAGGCAGAATCAGATATCCGGTTTATAATGAACAAGATATCACTGTGACTATGTGGTTAGGATTATCTTTGTTACTGTAAAGCATTTTATAGAGACACAGCTGTAAACTTATAGTTATGTTTGGGTCTTATCTGTTAACTATCTTCCCTTGAAAAAAGTTTATTCTACAGAACAAAGTGCCCTGGCTTATCAATGTCAATGTATTGTAGTAAATTACTGTGAGAATAAAAGTTTACATACCACAGCAGCAGCGCAGTTTTGATAATTACTTTTGTTTATCTTTTGGGAGGTCAGTTTAGAATCGACGTCTACTCTTTCTGTATTTTAATAGATTGTAACATAATTACAAATTCCAGTGTGTTTTTTTTTTACGCTGCTAATACCTTTCTTATATGTATGTCATTTAAGTTTTCTGCTTTGTTGTATCAATGTTTGCTGCTTTATTTTTTTTCATGCTGCTGTTTTTAAGCAACCTATTTCCTGTTCCTTTGTGCAGCTTGCTTGAAAAGTACTATAGAAACATAATTGTTGTCATACTTATGCAGGAGTTAATGTATATCTAAGCACACAAGAAGTTTTCATACTGACCTTCTGCCTCGACAATGTGCGACACATCAAGTCCCTCGTTCATCCTCAGCATCACTGTCCCATACTCAAAGTCAAAGGCGTCACTGTCAAAATGGAAAAGAGAATGAGGACACCACACAACAAAAATCTATCTATTTTTATACTGCGCTTACTGTATGTGTGTTTATTTGTGACTTACTGCAGTATTCCCACATAACTCTGCACTGCCTCTGAGCTCGAAGTCCTCCAGTTTCTCTTGAAACCTATCATTAATGTGTTAGGCTTCATACGGCCAAGACCAGAAGCCTGTAAGAAAAAGCACAACACTCACATCGTAAAGATAAAACCCAAAATCAGTTAATTGAAGCAACACAGGCACAATGTTACCCTGTGGTTGTAAAATCTGCAGAAAAATAAGACGTCTCTGAAGCTGTTTTACTGCCAGAAATTATGTCCAGATCACTCAGCAGATCTCACTTTGTCTGCGGGGACTCATCCAATGCAGTGTTAATCAATTATAGCTTTTAATCTGCCGTGCCTTTTGAAGTAAGCAATCCTGACAATGAACTGGGTCCTTATCTCAAAAGTGCGATAGCCAGAGCCATAACACTGTTTTCCTGCTCCTCATTAACTTGCTCCTCTTCTTCCTCCTGCACTAATGTAATGACCAGATCCATAAGACAGGTCCAGGCCAAAGTCATAACAGACCAATAAATACTTGTTGTGTTGTGAGGAAGAAATGGTACAATAAAACTTGTTTCTGTAATGTGTCCATCTGATCAAAACTCGGTTACATATTAATCAAATTGGATTTTTCTGGGTTACTTTTTTTTTTTAATGTTTTGTAAATCATAACCTCACTGACCTGCAGCAGGCTCTCAGTCCCTTCCCTGAAGTCCTCACAGGCCACAGCAGTGTAAAATGCCTTGCGTTTGGTCTTCCTAAGCCACAGCTGGTTCTTCTCCATGCCAGCGTTCATCTCCTCCAGGGCCTCTGATCTCGGGCCCTGAAGAAATCACAATATACAGCTGTATGTGAGTGTAAGTGTTGGTGTGAGTTTGTTTCAGAGAGATCAAGATCCCACATACACTTTTTTCATATTCAGAGGACACAACTGAACCTAAACTGTAGTCTCAGGTGTCCAGACAGTTGACATTTCCCTCATGCCTTCTTAATATTCTCTTGAATATCTACTGCATGTGAAGTCTGCACTCTGCACAATTCAAATTTGCTCGATGTGCAAATCTTGATTGGAAAAGACGGTTGATATTTAAATAAAGATTTGGGAAAGACGACATGCGCTGCCTTTGTTATGTCTATAATTTCGCATTTACATATAATAAGATTATATATAACCTTACCACAAAGACTTCACAGGTGAGACAGAGTCCGTAGTTCTTAGAGAGTGAGTGAGCCAGGTCTAGGAGAGCTGGTCTGACCCGTGCTGAACCTGTCAGAGCTAAGATCTGAGGCCTGAGAAAGAAACCAGAATGTGTTACTTAATATTTAAGAATTCTAAAAATATCCTTTGATTTTGAGTTTCAATTTTCCTATTGTTTTGAACTATATATTTGCACCCAAAGTGATGCAATGCAGACATTTACCTGAAGTTCTTGACGTGATCCTCTACACCAGACAGAGACAGAGCGTTGCTGACTGCGCTCACAAATGTCACCGCCTGCGTTGACGAACCCCAGTTTACATCTGGTGGGAAAATAAGAATCCTAACAGGTTAGTTCTCCCATGCAGGTGTCATAAATGTACTTCCAAAGATGCAGACACGTACACACAGCTCACCTGGCTTCTTGACTGTGACATAAATGTAAAGGAGGAGCTCAATGGCATATGTGAGCAGAGCAGCCCACCAGTTGATAACAAACATAACAACACAGCAGAGCAATGCGCCCAACAGGGATAGCCACATGTTGTAGTATTTGTATCCTGGTCTCCAACCTGGGGAAAGCATGACAGAAGAAAGACCACATTTAGCAATTGAACGCCATTGGACAAGTGATGGGAAACACACTGGGCAGAAAAAAAAATCCATTAATGGTGCTATGCAGTACTCACTCTTAAAAACTTTGAAACTCTGAATTTAAAACAAATCAAAATCTAATTATCTAATGCAACAGAGGTGCTTTTTGGGAGAGTGCCTTGTTTTAAAATATTCACAGTGACTTATACTCAATTGCTGAAAAAAAAGAAGTTTATATAATTTATGAGCTACTTTGTCTGTAGAGACCCACCTGGAGACTTGGCGTAGGAGGCATGGAAGCAGGAGAAATTGATGAGAGCATAAGATGCCAGGAAGAAGTTTGAGATGATAGGAGCGATCATGTTGAGATCACCTACGTAGACAAAACAAAAAAACCTCAGTCGAACTGGAATTTTGAATTCAGTAAACAGCCCATTCGGGCATTTGTTCATTTGATAAATTTAAAGTTAAAGTATTTTGTAAGAATTTCATCATTGTCAAGATTTCAGAAAATTATTGTCAGGTCATAATAGACAATTGAACTGACCAATGAGAATGAAGGCAACAGAAATAATGAATGTGAGGACATAGCCACGGATTGGCTCATTGTTCTTGCCGTATCCCTTGGCAAAGAAGTGCAGGATCGTGTAAATGTTGTCTTTACACAGTGCCTGAGAGGAGACAGAGGTTAAGTTAGAATTAAGTTAGATGTTTTCATTTTCAAGAGTTAAGAGCAATAATCTAGCTGCATGTGCTGTAGCTGCAGTGTATTGCATTTAGAAAAACGTGAAATGTCACTGACCTGGAAGACTTTGGGTGCACTGACAAGGGAAGCCAGGGCTGATGAAAGGGTGGCTGAGAATGTTCCAGCAATGATTAGGGGACCAAACCCAGACACCATGGTCATCACCTGAAATAGGAGTGAGGAGAGCATTAGAGGTGAAGAAAATGAGTTTTTCTTCTGTGCAGATTAGAGTTTAAAAGGCTGAGTACCTGATTGTTGTTAATCAAGCCAAAGTCACATTTTTCCACTGCACAGGAGGAGAAATTATAGCCGAGCTCACAAGCGGCTGCTGCTGGACCAGTACATTCTACTCCAGCTGAAATAATGTCAGTAATGTTTCCGGTGGCATCACGGACGACAGTGGCAGCTGATCAGGAAGAGAGAAGAACAGATGCTTTGCTTAGGATTTTTTTAAAAGTCTAACAACCAACCTCACGGAAATATTAAATATTCAAATGTTTGTAGATGTTATTAAAGACAAATGCTAACTAACAAAAAGTATCCCTTGGGACGAATAGGTTACTGTATTTATGAATATGTCTATGTATTATTGTCTTATGAATACAAGAAAGTGTTTTTTTTTTACACAAATGTAAAATTAGTAAAGCTTCTCACTGGAGATGCATTTCATGGATTACTGTACTTACAGACACAGAGGGCCACACCCAGGTAGGTGACACCAGTTATCAAGATGGCCAGCAAGGTACCTTTAGGTATGGCTGCCTGGGGATCCTGTAAAACAACATCTGTGTTTGAACATGTCACACTCAAGAAAAAAACAGTTTCTGTAGTAAAGATATATTCAAAAATGTAAATTATTAGTAGTTATAGTGTTTTGG